ATGAGTCACCAGTCCACGGCATCAGTCACCAGTCCACGGCATCCATACGTCCACGGCATCAGTCACCAGCCCACGGCATCAGTCACCAGTCCACGGCATCAGTCACCAGCCCACGGCATCCATTACCAGTCCACGGCATCAGTCACCAGTCCACGGCATCCATTACCAGTCCACGGCATCAGTCACCAGTCCACGACATCAGTCACCAGCCCACGGCATCAGTCACCAGTCCACGGCATCCATTACCAGTCCACGGCATCAGCAACCAGCCCACGGCCCCAGCAACCAGTCCACGGCATCAGTCACCAGTCCACGGCATCAGTCACCAGCCACGGCATCAGCAAGCAACCAGTCCACGGCATCAGTCACCAGTCCACGGCATCAGTCACCAGTCCACGGCATCCATCACCAGTCCACGGCATCAGGCACCAGTCCACGGCATCAGTCACCAGTCCACGGCACAGTCACCAAGAGTACCAACTCCCACGGCATCCATCACCAGTCCACGGCATCCATCACCAGTCCACGGCATCAGTCACCAGTCCACGGCATCAGTCACCAGTCCACGGCATCAGTCACCAGTCCACGGCATCAGTCACCAGTCCACGGCATCAGTCACCAGTTAGTCACCAACTCCACGGCATCCATCACCAGTCCACGGCATCCATCACCAATCCACGGCATGAGTCACCAGTCCACGGCATCAGTCACCAGTCCACGGCATCAGGCACCAGTCCACGGCATCAGTCACCAGTCCACGGCATCAGTCACCAGTTAGTCACCAACCCACGGCATCCATCACCAGTCCACGCATCCATCACCAGTCCACGGCATCCATCACCAGTCCACGGCATCAGTCACCAGTCCACGGCATGAGTCACTAGTCCACGGCATCAGTCACCAGTCCACGGCATCAGGCACCAGTTCACGGCATCAGTCACCAGTCCACGGCATCAGTCACTAGTCCACGGCATCAGTCACCAGTCCACGGCATCAGGCAAGTACAGCAATACGCAATTCGGAACGAAGCACAACA